TGTTCCCGGATTGAGTTTGCAAGAGGAAAAATTTTTTTATGCCTAAACTGCAAAGGAAAAACATTTTTTGCTTCACCTAAAACGAGAAAATCTGTACTTAAAACTTCAGTGAAAAGAAAAGTTAATTTTTCTCTTGATTTTCGACTTTTAAAGTCCTATCACATTGGCGATTTTATTTATTTGACAACTATATGTCACTTTGACAATTAATTTATTAATTAAATAATGATAGTTTTTGTTAAAAATAACTTTGGTTTATATTTTAAAGCTGTTTTTTTGAGTTTCTATTTATTAAAATTATGTTTTTCACAAATATGTTTGTTATTTAACTTGCGTAAACTCATTTGTCAAAGTGACACAAATAATAAAACCGCCAATGTTATAGGACTGAAAAAGTTTAAAATCAAGAAAAAAATGAACTTTTTTAATTACAGATTTGCTCGTTTCAGGTGGGACAAAAAATGTTTTTCTTTTGCAAAATCAAAGATTTTTTTTCTCTTGTAAACATAATCCGGGGACATCTTGTATTTTATAATTATTTATATTTATTTAAATTTATTTCACCTCCTTCATCTCATACTATCTGATTGGCAAATATTTTATATAATTAAATTATATTAAATTAAATTTTTTAATTATTGAATTTTCACAATTTTTCTGCTAATAACATGGAAATCTATTTTTTGTTAGTTAAATGGGTACATCTAGTTTTTGTTACGTCGATAGTAATAATCATGTCATAACCTCAAATTAAAAAATTAAATTAAACAACTGTCAGTAGTGTCGGATTGAATGATTGAAATTCAACGCACTCTTGGTTATTTTTTTTAATTTTTTTTATTTTTGGCCCAAATAATATTAATTAACGAAAATAACCCATTTGGTGCAGTAAAGGTTGAATTGAATTTTCATCTTTCATCATCGTTTATAGTCTAAAGTTTGATATTTTTTGCTATAATGGCCACCAAAATTGCTCCATGGTCCCCTCTCCAAGAACAATTGCTACTTTGCGCGAGAGAGATGGTTAATTGATTTTTACACGGGTGTGAGAGCGTTGGAGCTTACCCCGTTTTAGAACGATAGAAAATTTTGACAGAATTTTTTCCATTTTCCTGATATTTTACTTGAAAGTTTTCTTTGGGGCGCGAGTTTTGGGCTTGCTTATACACAAGTCTGAAATACTATTTATAGGGAAATTACGGAAAAACTGGCAACAAAAAATTTTTTTTTCTGAAAGCAAAAATTTGCTTGTTTTATGTTTTAGGCAGCCTGTATATAAAATTCCGAATGATTAGTTTGACGTTTATCTGCTTTGTTTTGGTTATGCAAAATGCAAAAAAACAAAGTGAAGAAGATAACGAAATGATTAAAGTGTACATAACACGTCATGGTGTTTTATCTTCTCATTAAGGGTTAAAGATCGCCATTGATTGGGTGATCAATGTCAAATCAGACTGTACCTAATCTTTTACAACTTATCGACGTTTT